AAAATAATAAACAGTATAAAATGAATATAGATTTGTGGTCTATACACTCAGGTATGTTTGATATAGGTAGGTAGCATTTATGTAATTATTCCTAATAATTGTTAGTTTGTTTATCTTTCTAAGAATTCTCTTAATTACTTTATTTGAATTGGTATGTTGTTTTAAAAAAATAAATAATTGTTAAAATCCGCTTTGAGCTACAATAAATTTAGATGACACGGTTTACTTTTATTTAGTACTTATTGCAGAAAAGTGTATCAATATTTATTTAATTGTATAATTACAACTTTAATTATAACAAAAGCTCATTTAAAATTGGGAATTCTCATTTAACCTAGCATTCAGGTACATTCTAATGTTAACGTATTAATTAATAATAGATGTTGGTACAATCATATAAAGATAGTGGAGTTCTAGAATAATCTACGTGTCGATTCTTCATTTTGTTTTTACTACCCGAGAAGTGTCTGTATTTACTGATTTAAAGTGGATGAAAATTTTAAGGTTAGACCTTAAGTTACAAATTTAGCGTGGGCCCCATGTAATAATTTTTTAGAGCACAAAACCGCGTGATAAATGCAATTGTCTATTATAATGCCGGCCACGCTGTGTCGAGCTGGCATTTTGCAGACGATCTACGGACAGTTCTTAGGGACAGTTCAGTGACCAGAATTAGGATTAGGGTTAGGGTTAGGGTAGGTGGATTTAGTTAACGTCAGTCAGCATGCACTGTCCGTAAGAACTGTCCGTAGACTCGGCGGGCATTTTGTCTTGTAACCCGTGCCGACAAGTCATGTGAATTAAAATTAACATCCATCAAGTTATTTAAGAGTCACACAAATGTCATACACGTACGTACGTACGAACGAACGTTTATTCCTTTGGTAAATATCAATGTCTCAAGCTTCGAGAGCATCAGTGATGTCGACAACAGATACACGCTTAGTAAAGCGTGTTTCTATCATCGATAGAAACTTAAACAAAACGAGGGGCCTGGAGGTAACAGACATTAGCTTTTTAAATTTTATTTTATTTTATTTTTTTATAGCTTTTCAATGGTATTTCTTTTTCCAACAATCCAGGTTGGAATAGGTGCTTTTGCGTTTCTTTTTTCAGAAATGTTACAGTATGCGCAAAAGCGCGTGCATGGAATTCAGGATCTCGAACGCAAGTAAATATAGATAACAAGCAAAAATTTTTAGGCACATTC